GGTAAATTGAGATTTGCATTCAATTTTTCTGGGCGAAGTAAGCGATCTATTTTATAATAATTACTAACAAAATTTCGTTCATTAAATTGTAATAAACACAAAAGACCTTTAGCAAGGCTTTAATGAACGAAATGACTGATAGTTAAATGAAATACATAAACACCAAACATTATCAAATAATAAGACAACATTTAGTTTGCTAAGTGTACTAAATAATATCACATTATCACGTTAGGTCTAGGTCTGGGCCCATAAGCTATTGGGTAAACGTAGAAGAAAGACTGGGAACTTCCGTAAAACACTATATTTGACAAGCTATATGTAAAAATTCAACTGACAACTTCAATATTCTAATAGACTAGTAAAATAAAACATTACTTAAAAAATAATCCAGTCTACATGACTAATTATTGTCTTCTTGGTTATTGATTATTCTAAATTTGTTTACACATAAAATTGAGTAATACTTCAGTACCGAACGATTGGTCCCTGAAGCTATAAAAGAGCTTTTGTTGGAGAGGGACGACTATTGTTATTATTTGCCGTGGCTCTCCGAGGTCACTTATAGATTATTGTGTCACTTGACTTACAGGTGAGAACAACCCCAATCCAATGCTTTCCTCTAAAGGTCATTAATAGAATACAAGGCTGTTCAAGAACTTTCCAATAAATTTGCGTATGTTATTGGATGCAATAAAAAATAAATGTAAACTTATTTTTTCAGGCTACTGATTCTATTATGCATATCTACTTGAAACATAAAATATTCTAAATTTCTATATTTATTACTACCATAAAAATTATTTATTTATTAATATAAAGTAGGTACCTTTTATACCTATTAAATTAATGTTAATAAATATGTATTTAGGTACTTTTTAATGGTCATAAAATAACAGCTTATTATTAACTTGGTACTTATATGGTAATTCATTATACGAGAAAAGTAATTTACCGCAGAATTGTATTGTTTTACAAGCAACTATTAATTTTGATCTCTTTATATTTACCTATACAAAAAACTATTTTCTAAGCGGTAATTATACTATGTGTCTTTTACTATATTATGTAAATTAATTTTAATTTAATAGTTAGATATATATTCGAATCATTTCGTAAAATGCTTCTGTTCATTGTCATCATGAGAGCTACATGTATTACAGTTGACCGTGATGCCTTGAAAAATGTAGAAGATTATGACAAAATGTTAACAAAAAGTGAGTTATGATAATAAAGATGAACAAATGTAAATTACATTGATTTTTTTGAGAAAGATCAGATATTGGAGTTAAGATATATAAAAGGATATGATCATCAAAAGAGTGATAAAATTATATTATGCATATACCTACAAAACATTTATATTATTATCTGTATTAAAATCAATAAAATTTACATCTGGTTCTACACATTTTATTTAATATTAATCCTTCTAAAATTTTACACATCATGACTTGTTAGCAATTATTTGTGATAATTTATTGTAATCCGATTGTTAAACTAACTGGATTTGTAAAAATTAATTTGAACACTTTAGTAATTTTAAATGAAGGGGTAGAGAAAAACTAATGATATGCATTTTAATGCTATTGGTTTTGAAGTTTATAACTTCATCTTCTTGCAGACCTAGTGAGTATTTTATGTTATATTAAGAATGGAGTGTTTAATACACTGCCACTTAAAAGATATATTGTTCCTCCTTCTGTCCAATCCTCTCATGGAAGTGTAGAATTTGAAGTGGATTCCAGTTAGGTAATTTCCCCTTTTCTATTTGATATGCTCCTAGGTATAGTGCCCTTGGATTCTGGAGTGCTACAAATTCAGTCACAAGGTAAATGGCGGCTTCGTCTTCCTTCTCACAGAATCTGCAATATTTTCTACTACTCTCAGTTAACTAAGATATCCTTAGATTCGGCACTGCCCAGTAAGGGCCCCTGTTAAAATTTGTTTCCTGTTATTACTTATTTAGATACAGGCTCCCAATCTTTTCTTGGTATATTCACCCAGAAGTATCTTATCCTGTCATCATTTATTGTTTTATCTACTACCCAATTCTTTTTTAATTTCTCCTAATATTGTGTTACTGCTGATACCGCAGAACGGCGTCAAGTTTTAATCCCGTAAGTGATGATTGATCTCAATAATGCTGTATATATCCATGGTAGTGTGTTCGGATTGCATCCTCATCTTTTGCATACAATTAGGGCTTCTGTGGCCTTATTTATTACTTCCTTCTCATGTAACTTCCAGAAAAGTTTGTTGTCCAGACTTAAGCCGAAATAATTGACTAATTTTTTTCCATTCTATAACCATCCTGTATAATTTAAGATTGAGATTATTTTCCTTAAAAAGGCCACTAGTGTTGTTTTTGTGGGGTTTATACTAGGTCGTACCTCACGGCACCATCTTTTGGTGAGGTTAAGTCCTCTTTGGATCACATAGGATATTTTTAATGTTGCATCTAGTAAATATGACTAGGTCATTCAATCTGCATAGAAGTTCCCTCACAGTTAGACTCCACATTAGCGGGGATAAAACTCCTCCTTGTGGACATCCTCTGGTTGTGCAGATGAAAATAATGTCCTGTTCTATCTGCGTCTTTGCAATTTTCGTAAATAGCAGTTGATCCATCCATTTGCATGTGGTGCTACCTATACCTTTGTATGCAAGTTCTCTTTTAACAGATTCGTGAGGCGTATTGTAAAACGCTCCTTGTATGTCTAGGAAGGTACACACAATCTTTTTTTTTTTTTTTAGTGCGCCCTGGATTTTGTCAGTCAGCTGTACCAGGACAGTTTATTTAGATCTTCCTGCTCGATACGCGTGCTGGGTAGAGTGGTACCCCCTTCAGCCTTCTCTGTTTCTTTTAATACAAAGGATGTGGGGCTGATTGTTCAGATGCATAAGAATGTATGGTATCCTTTTCCCCTACTTTTGGAGTAATGGTAGCTCTGTCATTTCATCATGATTCCTTACGTGGCGGATAAGAGAAATAAGAAATGATAAAGTTTTATCGGTAGCAATAGGCGTGCCAGAAGATTAGGTTAAAAACTTCAAAACTGGTCGTATTAAAATACGTATCATTATGAGATTCCAAAATAAATTTTCCTTCTCTTCCTTTCATTTAATTTACCATCTCACACCTGCCTATCCCAAGTTTAAATTAAAAAAATTTGGCAATAATACTGAGGCGGCGGTGTGATCTAGACGATCATCCAGATCGTCTATACTTACTTGCAAATCGATTTATTTTCTATTTAGTGAAACAAAATTTGTGAATTTAAACAATTTTGTTAACATTTCTTTTTAATAAATTATTTTTAAGGTATTTGGGCTACAAGAAAGAATGGAGCCAAGAATCTATCGTCATGCTATTCAGTGCTATAAGGATGGTTTTAAAACCATAAAAGAAACTGGAATAGGAGTGCATAGATCTAGAATCAGGCCCTCTGAAATTTTGTGAAAATAGCCAAGCATCTTTCAGGTGAAAATTCAGGTTATTAAGAAGTATATTCAGTTTCAAATCGAGAGAAACTATCGTAGACAAGAGATTATCATCATGTCTGATAGCCTAGCAGCTATCAAAGCGCTGAGCTCTTATGCAATCCGTTTAAAAATGGTCAGGAGATGAGCTACCGAGAAAGATTTATTCTCACTTGGAAACTACGACATAACGGGGTAAAATTGGGGAAGGGCAACGATATTGCAGATAGTCTTGCAAGGAAAGGGACTCAAGCAGCATTTGTAGATCAGAGCTATACAGCGGAACGCAACACAATTTTTGAAAAAATTAAAAAAGAATTAGGCAGTAGCAGAACCTAGAATTGGAACAATCTCTTGGGGCTAATACAGACTAAGATACTTTTGGGTGAATAATGCCAGAAAAGTTTGATAGTTTGTATCTGCCTGAACAAGAACATGCTACGCATTGAAACAGTGATCCTTGCTAGGCATTTTTGACTACAAGAGCACCTTAGTAAACTAACAGCCGTATGCATAGTCGATCGCCAGCGGATGGCTGCTGATAACGCCAAGATGAATTTTTGGCGAATCGCTGGCGACTTACTGGAGATTGTCACCAGCATGTCATCCCTCGCAAGTTTTCATGTTATTTTATAGGAAAAATTAGTTTTCGTGTTTTTTTATGAGAAAAAATTTGATATTCGTTCATTGTTATTTAGTTTTAAGAAATGAATCATGAATAACATGAGAGAGATGCCGGTCACAATCTCCAGCAAGTTGCCACCTTTTCGAGCTTTTACCAGCGGATCGCTGGTGATACGCCGGCGAATCGCTGGCGAATTGCTGGCGATCGACTATGCATATGAGTGTAAGAGTAGTAGAATATTGTGAGTGCAGATTCTCTGAGGAGGAGGATAAAACCTATATTCACATTCTAACTAAATGTATAGCACTCTAAAACCAAGGACACTATACCTAGAAGCATATCAAATAGAAGAAAGAGAGTTACCTTACTTGAAGCCACTTCAAATCCTACACTTCCTTGAGAAGATAGGATTGGAAGGGTCATTATAGGCATCAAGATATTTCCTTGCTGCATTAGCAACAAAAAGAGGTACAATAAACCTGTTAGGTCGCCAGTCTATTATCACCCCATTTCCAAGATAACATAACATGCTAGTTCTTTTAAATTTGAACTTCATGTCGTTCTATTGCATCTAAAATAAAAATTGAAATTGTAATTTTAAAAAGTGTAGACGTTTTGACTCTTTTCTAACCAAAAAAATACGAAATCCTTGTATTTTTTACACCCTGCATAACAGTAAAAAATAACGTCTTACTGAAGATCACCGTTGATACAAGAAATATTGATCTCTTAATAATTCATTTTTACAAATTGTAAAGTACCAAATATTTTATTACCAAATTTTGTTTCTTGTATTGAAATAAATTTAAATTATTTTTGAACAGGAATGAAATTAGACTTCTAGGGAGCTTTTAATACAAAGGATATGAATTGTAGATAAAAAATTACTTACCCATATCTGTAGGGACCTTTTCCAGAGTCATCATAATCAAACTTCAGTATTCTGGCTGATTTTGAGTCTGATAGTTCCGCTGGTGCTGCTTGATACACCCCGAAAAAGCCAAAGAAAATCTAAAAAAAAAAAATGTCAACTTTATAATGTCTGTAATATATTCGTGGAATGAGGAAATATCTATTTGTGTATTAAGAGCGAAAAGTAATACTTTACCGCTTGAGAGGGAAAGTTAGCCGCGCGACGCGTAGCGGAGCGCGGCAATCTGTCGAAAGCGGCAACGAATTTTTTGCTCAAAATGCACACAATATATATTCTGCAATCACGTTATTTTAAGAAATAGATATAAGAACTGAACATTTGTCATGTATATGTGTTGTGTATATCTATTTTAATCATGAAAACGAAGTTGATATTCAAAGTCAATGTTAACTTTGATAATAAAACAATATAACATCAAACTACGTAAGAATAACTTAAAAAAAAGCTGTCAAATTTTCCGCTCTGTCATTGTCACTAAAGGTTAATTTATAAACTTGCAGTTCCGACGCCGTTATCGTTTGTTTGACGTTGCAGTCGCCGTTAAACTTAAAACTTTGTTGTTTGAATGCGCAACAACGAAAGGTGACAACAACAGAGAATATAAGTGCGCAAAAGTGAAAGTAGCTTTTTAAGTTCCAACAGCAACTACAACTTCGAACGGTAACTGCAACTGCAAGTTTATAAATCGGCCTTTAATGTCTGTTTGCGGAAAACCTCAACTTTGCGGTTGTATTTCGAAACGCAAAAGCGTACTATGGATAGTGATCGTAGAAAAAGTGTAATTATTATAACAAATAAACTTTTTAATTGAAACAGTAAGTTGCTAAAACTAACTTTATTTTCGTATATACAGAGTGAGTTTTAGATATGGAACGCCCCAATTATCTCGGATACAGCTTGTAACAATACCCTCACTTCGGGTTATTTTGGAATAAAGTTAAACGTGGGAAATAAGATGATTTAAAATAACAATTTTTATTTTAATTATTAATCCCTTTACACAATGAATTATAATGTTTCAGAGGAGTTATTCTCTGAACCACGTAAACTAGCTAGCTAAAACTAAACAAAGTCCTATAACTAAAAATATAATAGATTCTACTCAAAATATCTAAACGAAAGAATAATTAATAGATACTACTCAAAATATAAACTAAAAAACAATTATATATCTCTCTCTGGATTATTTATGAAGAATTGTCTGTTATGTCCACTGTGAACATTGAGCACAGCCTGCGCTTTGGACAATCCTTGGTAACAAGGCAAGTGACTCAATCTAGGACAACTTCTTACAACTTAACTTACGGCTATGATGCAGTGGTTCTGGCTTTGGCCTACTGTTCGCCTTTGACCTACTGTTCCTCTCCTTCTGACCCTCTCACAGCAGAAGCAAAAGTAGGAGATATTTACAGTTTCTTTGAATAAGACCACCTCAACGTGGTCACAATTCAAAGATACTTTACAAAATATCGAAGCGAATTCTTAATTGATGGATACAATCAGATTTCATGACATTTGTCATCTCAGACCTAAACGTGCTAGATATCATATTTTGCATGATACAGTATGTTCAAAAGTAAATTGTCTCGTTTCAAGCTTGAACGATTTTTATATACTTTGGTACGTAAAAGTTTTGTAATACGGCCGATATTATGACTGTATTTACATTGTTGTCAGATCTTTCGGTTTTCTGGAAATATAATGAACTTTGTTATTTTAAATACTAATTATTTTTTATGTAATGTTATACCTAAATGCCATAATTTTGGAGTTACAGTTACATTTACATTATCTCCGCGGAAGTTAATATAATTAATAAGTTAATATAATTAATTTAGATGGCTATGACTGGTATATTAAAAACTTTGACGTTTCAATAAATTATTATTGTTGGTGTTTATTGAAAGTCACAATGGATCGTTGATATAAGAAAGAACGAATTATGATTTGAATGATATTAAGATATGGTAACATGCGTAAAAGTCTACAAGAAATATCTTTAATAATTTATAACCTAACCGTAATCCCATAACATGATCTACTCTAAGTAAATTGGTGAAAAAGTTTAACCAAAGTGGTTCGGTAAAAGCTTTATCCAAATCAGGGCGCAGAAAAACTGCATCACCTGAAAAAAATCTTTACTTGTTTTTGCCAAAATATTATAATCGAAACAATCCAAATTTTTTAAGTATTGTTATGTTTTGCGATGACGCCACTTTGTGTATTAATGGAAACGTAAATCGTCAAAATTGTATATACTGGTCATTTAACGAATTTTAAGATCCCCAATTACTTGGACAGACAAAGTTTGTAAAAATCAAACACATTTATGTTGTAATGTCTTTGGTAAAAATACTTGTGTAAAGGTCTAGCTGAAAAGAGAATTATCGACTATAGTAATAGATGTACCAACAGTTTGCTTATTAGAAGATGGTTGTTCATCATTTTTTAGACACATTATATCTACAAGTCTACCTTTGCATTTGGAACATCTTAGTTTAACTCTACATCGTCTCCTAATATGTCCGAATTTCATACACAAATGGCAGCATGCATTAGCAGAAAGTCATTCTTTTTTTTTGAGCTAAACTCCAGGTATGACTTTAGTATAGTTCTGACTGTCGTGTGGGTTTTTACAAAATACACATTTTAATGAGCTCCTATTAATCAAATCTGCAGCAGTAATTACATTATTAGCACTTTTAGATAATATGTCGTAATTTCTTTTAGATTTGTTTTGTAAATCAAACCCTGAATAGTCATGACTATTTTTTCTTAATCTTGTACCTCTTTTTCAAAAACTTCATTAAATTCTCAAGATGTTCTTAAACACTTGATTCGGCAAATGTATACAATTTGTAACATTTAAATTAATAAAAATATTGTCATAATAAAGGCGTAAAAAAAGTCAAAATTTCTTTTATTAATACATTATTGCTTTGATTTTTCAAATGAAATCCCTCTATAATTTATACCGAAAATATTTTCCTATATTTATTCCACCCAACATGCAATTTTAAAGTAAAATTAATTCACATAATGATGATTAATTTAAAAAAATGCAATCTTCTCGCAAGAAAATAGCTATTCGTTAAAATGAGAAAAATCCGTAAATTTAGATAATATGCAAATAAGAATTTATTATTCTCTTTTTTACGCACCCTTATGACAGTACGTCACTGGTAGACCGGAAACACTTCTCGCCATATTCGTCTAGTTCATTGTCAAAATTAGATACCATCGCGATTCCAAGGCCATTTAGGTTTCCTCCTTCCTGACTATTTATATTCAAAGGGCCATTGACAGGGTTAATAATACATATATAATTGTATAGATTGCTAAAAGCGGGTCCTTCTGCGAGCGGCCATATTGCCTCCAACGTGATCATTAATCAGAATCAGTTTACCAAAAATGTGTTGAAAAACATGCATGATCAATCTATATAACTATCTATTTCATTGACCCTGGAAAATCACTAGGCTTACAA